GCCATGCGTTTGGCAGGAGCGGCTGCTAAGTCGCTCCTGTGACTGTCTGCGGCGCCCAGGCTGTTCGAGAGGACTGTCGCGAGCAGACCCAGATGTAGCCACGAGCTGTCCCCGATGCTGAGCCAGCTCCCAGTTACAGCTGTGCGCAGTGCCAAACAAGCTCCAGTAGAGCTGTCCGGGGCACCGAACCAGTTCCCTGCAGAGCTGTCCGCGGTGTCAGACAAGCTGCTGGTGGCACTGTCTGAGATGCTGAACCGGCTCCCGCAGAGCTGTCCGCGGTGCTGAACCGCCTCCTGCAGAGCTGTCCGCGGTGCTGCTCCAACTCCCAGCACTAGCTGTCCATGGTGCTGAACCAGCTCCCAGCAGCTGCCGCGGTGTGGGACGACCCTGGCAGGCAGACTGTCCTCAGGGTTGCGTCTCCACACAGAGAAACGGAGTGGATTCTTCCTTCTCCCTCCAAGCCCCCCACCAAAGAACTCCCCTCCTGGGAAAATCGCTGCTGTTTCCTAGAAGCAAAGCTCTCTGTGCTGCAGGTAGCGTGCAGAAGGCAGACTCAGTTTTAAGTGGCAGCTTTGGCTGTTAGGACGCAGTCCTGACTCCAAACTAACTGAAATAAGCATGCAGCTTGGGGAAGGACGATATAGAAAGGAAAGTAAGAGGAAGATGTTCCCCAGAATTCAAGCTATTGGTTCCTTGGGTTGGTGAAGTAGGGCAGTGGGGCAGAGAGTGCTACCTAAGTACATGTGAGTTCTTGGAAAGACACAGATTTTTCTGAGGCCAAGTGAGAGCACAGGATTGATATTTTTATAGATTCTCAAAATGCAATATGGCTGCATTTATTATAAATATTTGATATCATGAGATTTGGTTGGCATTTTAAAGATAATTAGAAACCTTGAAATTCAAAGATTCCTGAAAATGTCATGCTTTTGAGTACAAGCAGTCAAACTGTGTTTGTGGTTTGAGTACAACTTTAGCTAGTGAATGGACACAACCACCAGCCTAACCCTGGCCGATCCAATTATTGATCTATCTCACTGCCAATGCACCCAGGAAGCAGTTGATAACAGTGCAAGTACTTGCATCTCTGCCACCAAGTTCCTGGCTCCTGACTTCAGCCTGACCCATTCCTGGCTGTTGTGGCCACTTGGGGGTACTCAACCAGCATATAAAGATTCTCTCTCTCTCTCTATCTCTCTCTCTCTCCCTCCCTCTCTCCCTCTCTCCCCTCCATTCTGTCACTCAGCCTTTCAAATACATAGATAAACATCTTTAAAAAGAGGCAGGCATTCATAGAGAACACACTGGGTGCCAACACTGAAGGGGACCCCCAGGATCCCTGAGGCAGATCGCTGGCCCCCAGAGGTTGACTTCCATGCCTCTTCAACGGGCAGTGAGCTTTGGGCTCTGACCTTGCACTCTTTGTATACCTGGAGCTGATGCAGGCATTTGGGGAGTGAACCAGCAGATGGAAGACCTGTGTCTGACTCTGTTTTTGTCTCTTCCTTCCTCTACTCACATTTCAAATATATAAACATTTTTAAAATGCTGCTATGAAAAGTGAGATATTTTCAAGACCCTGAATTCAATTCTTTGGGGTGTATACTCAGAAGGACAATTGCTAGATCATACTGTAGATATACTGTAAATTTTTAAAGATTTATTTGAAAGGTAGAGTGACAGAGATAGGGACACACACACACAAAGTGGAAAGAGAGAGAGAGAGCAAGAGAGAGAGAGAGAGAGAGAGATCTCCCATCAGCAGGTTCACTTTCCACTCCACAGATGTTGCAAAGACTAGGGCTGGGCCATGCCAATGTCAGAAGCCAGAAGCTTCATCCCATCTTGGGCCATCTTCCAATGCTTTTCCCACATCATTAGCAGGGAGCTGGATAGGAAGTGGAGCAGTAGGGACACAAATGGGCACCCATATGGGATGCCAGCATCACAGGCAGCGGCTTTACCCACTACACCATAATGCCAGACTCTTGCCAACACTTTTATTTTGCTGTTAGTAGTAGTTGTTCCAACTGATGTAAGGTGATCCTTGGCTTGTTGCCATTTTTTTTTTCTCCAGAGCAAGGCTTCTGTGAGTACTTGAGTGAAGGGAAAATGTCCTGCCTCCAGATGTGCATAATATTGTCTTTTCTGTGCCACGTGGGTCTCTGCTCAAGTGTCACCTTCCTAGGGAGGTCTTCCTTGACTACTGAAGCTGAGGCAGGCCCCCCGACTCATGCTCTATAGTCATGCTCAGAAATTAGGAGTGGTGGCTCCATAAGGCAAAGGCTTTTAATTTTGCTGGTTGCTCGATTCCCAGCCCCAATACTGCCTGACATACAGCAAGAGCTCAGATATTTGTGAATGGATGACTCCCTGCTCAGCCAGAGAGCTTCTTGTCTCTTGAGATTTCTGATTACCAGAGCGTGAAGAAATTCTGGATATTCATATATTAGGAGTCTTTTAAAAGTTCATGAAAAGGCATATTATGAAAAAACTATGTATGAATTTCAAATGTTTTTGCATCAAGGTAAGCATTTTAATTACATTTTCCCATGACCTATTTTTTAAGATTTATTTTTATTTATTCAAAAGGCAGAGTGGCAGAGAGGAAGAGATAAGAGATATCTACCACTGTTGATTCACTCTCCAAATGGCTGCAATGGTCAGGACTGAGCTAGGCCAAAGCCAGGAGGTAGGAACTCCATCCAGGTCTCCCATATGAGTGGCAGGGGCCCAAGTACTAGGATCATCTTCTGCTGCCTTCCCAGGTGCATTAGCTGGGAGCTAGATTCAGAAGTGGAGCAGCAGAGACTTAAACCAATGCTCTAGTACGGGATGCCAGCTCTGTGGGTAGTGGCTTAACAGACTGGGCCACAATGCCAGCCCCTTCATGATCTTTTTGAAGTATCTTGTATTAGGTATTCACTTTCTTATTTCTTAGATTAGCCTCTCTCCAAACTTTGAAGTGGAGAGAAAAAATAGCTCAGGCTCCTTCCTGTCCCACATTTTTCCTCCCCCCTTTCCAAATATTTCTCACACCAACCTCCCTGTTGGAACTTCTCTGCAAAACAGGTGATAAGCTATAAATAAGCATCTATATTCTCTGTAGGCCTCTCTTCCAAAGCAGGCAAATTCTGTTCTGCCTTTCCCTTCTCTGTGAGCTCCAGGATTTTCTACCTCAGATAGGGTAGAGACAAAAAACAGTAAAACGCAACTCTCAACTTGTTGATCATTTCCTGTGGTCTTTTCCAAATTATTATACTGGAGGCTCCTTTTGCCACTGAAATTAAATGACATGCTATGTGTGCCAAGGATTTATCAGAGGGCCTGGAACATAGTGCATGCTCAGTAAATGACACTAGTGGTTCGGGTCATTATGTACTCTGAGAGGAGACACCTCATAAATATCTCCTTGCTCTCCTCCTCTTCCTCAGACCCCTCTGACCCCTCCCCTTCTCGCCTCCGCCTCCTTCGCTCTCTTCCTCCCCCAGCCCAAACCCCACCCCCTCCCCTCACTTCGTCCTCGCCCCGCCCCCTTCAGCAACCGAAGCACCAGTGTCTGAGGCTCCGGCTGCAGCTTCTGCGTGGGCTGTGGCGAGGGCACCCACTGACCTACCTGCTGAGACCCTCGCAGCAGCTGGTCGGGCCGGCTGTTAGGGTCTCCGTGCTGTAGACGAGGAAACTGAGGCGCTGAAGAAGTCCCGCACAGCGATGCGTGCGCGTGAGTGCATGTGTGCGGCCTTGCTGAGGAAGCCGGGTGCATGACGCCATCCTGCCAGATCCACACTGACTCATGTAAGCCTCAGGTGCAGGGCCGATGCTGGCCCTACGGACTGGAGCCTGGCAGTGTGCACCCTGGTGTGGGTTCTGTCAGGGCCGCGGTCCCCGAGGTGGGTGCGTGCCAGGGAATGCTACAACTTGTGTACTGGGTCATTTCAGTCTTCTCCATTTTAATGCCTCCAAAATTAGGATGTGTTTGACCTCTAATGGCATGTTGTCGTTTAATTAGTGATTTTTTTCCTCCCCCTTAGTGACATAAACTCGTGTTTTAGCCATTGGCCTCAGTGTCAATGAAATCCAGTAACTAGTATAGCACACTTGGAAATAGGGTGTCTAGTGGAGTGCATGTGGGAATACAGCATCAGCACACGTCAATGAAATGTGATTTGTAGCGTACATGTCAGAGAATGACCCATGTGCATGTACATATATGTGGTAGCTGTATATTAGTGTGATTCTGTTTTTTTTTAATATATAGTGTTATGGATTGGACAGAACATGGCTCCCCAAACTCATTCAGATGTTTAAACTCGTAAGTCTATAAGGGTTGCTGGGTTAGGGAGACTGGACCTAATTATGTCCTCTGAGAGGCAGGTCTGCTGGGATGTGTTTAGATCCTGCAGGGCTGGCCCAAAGAAGCTGGTTCTCTCTAGAGGGTTGGCTGTTTAAGCTGTTTGGGCCTAGCTTCTCTTTCTGCTTTCGGGCTCACCATCTGATGCCCTCTTGGCACCCTCTCGCTCGGCCATGGCCAGCCTCCACCAGCTGCCACACTAACGGGGCCCCTGGTCCTGAACTGCTAGCCTCCACACTGTAAGCCAAAGTTACACTTTTCCTTCCCCAGAAACCCCCTCGGTTATTTTAGTTAAAATAGTGAATAAAACACAGTGTTTAGTACATGTCTTTGTGGACACCTTATTTTCAAGAGTATGTTGCACTTAGCATTAATGTACCTTACATTCATGTATTTAAAGTATTTGGTGTATGTATTACCCAAATACATGGTGTTCACAGCTATAGTATCTGTATTATCAATTTACATATATCTTAGACACATGTATTTATAGCATTTAGTGTGCATGATTATATCTTACATACAGGTATGATATATATTTAATACCACAGTACATATAGAGATACACTCTACACACATGTGGTATTTAGTGTGTGGTTACACCATATATGTACACATCTCCTGTATATGTCATATGTCAGCTCACATGTATCTTGTATACATGTATTCATGTTATTTAGTGCCATAGTACATGCCAAGAAGGTATACATATTTTATACATGGTTATTTCAGTTGTTGTTTCAGTCATGAACATCTGAGTGTATATATGGTAACATATGGTTACATACTGCAGCATTGGTATATAATTTGGAAATAAACACCTAGCACAGAGGCTATTGCCAGGCCCAGATTTCTTTTTTACAGATTGGGACTTATGATCATAGGTGTGTTGGAAGCCCATTGCAGGAACCCCTTCAGAGTTCTTGACGAAGAGGGGTTCAGCAAAGCATTCAATCCCTGAGCCCTGCAGAAGGCCCTGTCTATGAGGAGTGGGGCCTCACCAGACAATAAGTATGCCAACACTTTGACTGTGGACATCCTAACCTGCAGAACTGTGAGAAGCAGATGCTGGGTATTTATAAATTACACATTCTAAGGCATTTTGTGACGGTCGTAGGGATGCACAATTACCTTCAAAAATAACTAAGAATGAGCAAACAGTCTGTGCTGGGGTGTGTGCTTACTGAATCCAACAAACATTTAAACCTGAACAGCAAGCCTGATGGAGTTCATTCTCTCTCGTACATTCCCCCACAATTGTGGAAACTGATTTTTATCATACAGCCCATATCTGTATCGTTTAACAACTAAAGGATGGCTTAAAATGACACAATCTCCTGAAGTTAAGTTTTATTAAAAAAAAAAAGTGACAGACTGCTCTAAGAAACTTTGGCATTGGAAGCAGTAGTTATTGTTACTTGCTAACTCTGAAAAATTTTTTTATCCCTCTCACAAACAAGTTGCAAGCCTCCACCACTGACTGGCTTGGTGGCTTCCAGTCGAGAGACCAGGGTAGGCGGGAGGCACGGATGTGGGAGGAATGGAAAGTCCCTCTTGCTCCTAGCCATGGGGAAACTCAAGAGATGGCATGAAAGTACACTGGACTCTGAGGAGTGTATGACAAAGAGAGTTCACCTCCTCCTCCTCCCCTCCACCTATCATCAAGGAAAAGGAGCTCCAGAGAGCCTCTGTGACCTGCTCAGGCTCTTAAAACAACTTACTGGAAAGCTGGGCTTGACTCTGATGGCCTAAGATCCTGTGTTGGATTTCCAGATACAATGATCACAGCTTGGCTACAGCGAATGCTCCCCAGTACTGTGGATGCTGAGAGCCCTGCACCCTGACACTTAGGAGAACGGTCGCGTATGCAATCGGAAAGCCCTCTCACGAGTCCCACCTTCCTAAGCCTTCCCTGACCCGGAGTCACCCGCGAGCTCCCACGGGAAGATTTCCCACGCCGGCCACGTGGACACAGCGCGCCCTCGCTGTGGCAGTCACCTGGCCATGCGCCCTCAGGTGTGGATCCGCAAGTGCCGCGTCAGGTTCGTGTTGCGGCTGAAGGTCTTCCCGCACTCGCCGCACCTGTAGGGCTTCTCGCCAGTGTGGATGCGCTGGTGCACGGTGAGCGAGGAGTTCTTGATGAAGCACTTGCCGCACTGCGCGCACCTGTAGGGCTTCTCTCCGGTGTGGATGCGCTGGTGCTCGATGAGGTACGCGCTCTGGCTGAAGGCCTTGCCGCACTCGCCACACTTGTAGGGCCTCTCGCCCGTGTGCACAATCTGGTGCACGATGAGCGACGAGCGCCCCGTGAAGTGCTTCTTGCACACGTAGCACTCGTAGGGCTTCTCGCCGGTGTGGATGCGCTGGTGCTGAGTGAGGGACGAGTTCTTGCTGAAGGCCTTGCCACACTCGCTGCACTCGAAGGGCTTGACCCCGATGTGGAACCTCTGGTGCTGGATGAGGTAGGAGCTCTGGCTGAAGGCCTTGCCACACTCGTTGCACACGTAGGGCTTCTCCCCGGTGTGGTTCCTCTGGTGCAGCGTGAGGGACGAGCTCTTGTTGAAGGCCTTGCCGCACTCTTTGCACGCATAGGGCTTCTCGCCTGTGTGGGTTCGCTGGTGCTCAGTCAGGTGCATGTTCTGGCTGAAGGCCCTGCCGCACTCGGGGCACACGTACGGCTTCTCCCCGGTGTGCGTGCGCTGGTGCACGATGAGGTGCATGTTTTGGCTGAAGGCCTTGCCGCAGTCCCCGCACGCGTAGGGCTTCTCGCCCGTGTGGATGCGTTCGTGCTGAGTGAGGGACGAGGTCTTGCGGAAGGCCTTGCCGCACACGTCGCACACGTACGGCTTCTCCCCGGTGTGCGTGCGTTGGTGCACGATGAGGTTCATGCGCTGGCTGAAGGCCTTGCCGCAGTCCCCGCACGCGTAGGGCTTCTCGCCCGTGTGCACGCGCTGGTGGATGGTGAGGGACGAGCGCTCAATGAAGTGCTTCCCGCAGGCACCGCACGCGAAGGGCTTCTCCCCCGTGTGGATCCTTTGGTGCTTTATCAGCGAGGAGCTGCGGCTGAAGACCTTGCCGCATTCGCTGCAGTCGTAGGATTTCTTCTCTGCATGGAGCCTGGGGGGCTTACTGAGGTTCTTCCCGTGCATGACAAATGGACAGGCCCCCTTCTCCTCCGTAGGCTCCTCCAGCCTCGGGGGCGCTGGGGTAGAGTCTTGGCTGGCAGAGGCCTTCAGTTCATGACATCCAGTGACCGACTCCCCGGTGCGTGCGTTCCCCTGTGGAGTTCCCGGGTGGTCCCAAATGGCCCCTGAGCATCCCCTCAGCCTCCCCTGCATCCATGCTCGTCCCAGGGTGGGACCCCAGGCACCATTCCTCATGGGTCCTCCTGGGCCCACCTGGATGCATGGCTTGTCTTCAGAAACACTAGCCTTAGCATCCAGCTCTTTCATTTCGGGTCTAGTCTCCCAGTCTGAAAACCCAAAAGAAAAAACAAAGACAAAAGAAAACAAGCAGATGCAAACAGATGCGGTTAGCAAGGCCAGGTGCAGGGAATTTCTGAGATGGGAACGGGTATAGGCACAGACTGTGCTAGCCACTGACGACTTCTGGTTGCAGAGGGGGTGGGAAAGGAAGTGATGAATTGGGCACCCACGCTTTTGGCTGAAGGAGCTGAGCAGGGAGATCAAGAAGTGTCCCTTCCAGAGAAGGATGCAAAAGAAAGAAAACGTGAGAGCCCCAGCAAACTGCAGGGCTCTTGCAAGCTCGAGTAGGGATGACTTGGAACAGACTGCTGTCTACTGGCTTTCCCTCCCCAGTTCATACCCTCAGCCATCAGATTTCCTTATAAATAACAAAATAGCAAATAGCAGTTATATGACATCTTCTTGGGACTCGCCACCGTCCACCCTCTTTCTGTGCCACAGGGGACTGGCTTTACCCTTCTCCGGTGCATTTGGCAGGAGACGGGAAGGTGGAAGGAGAGAGACGTTGGGGTATTTCTACCTGCTCACTTCCGGCTTCTTATCCAAAGCCGTCTCTGGTCCTCTAGCTTCTGCTCTTGCTGGTCCCCACCTTCTCACTATGCCCTGCTTGTCCCCCAGCCCTCCTACTCAACATCCTCATAAGTTTCCTCAGGTCTTCAAGGCATGAAGAGTGCCCTACACACCTTCTCTCCTGTGAGCCTCATGGGAATTACTCAACTTGGGGACTGAGCAGCAGTTGTTCCGTGGAGTTTGGGTCTAGACCCTCTTTGTACAACCCTCCCTTGGAGAGCCACATTTATGCCCAACTTTATATCACCTTCTACATATCTCTCATTCATTTCTAAATCTCAACTTCCAGCCCAGGTGGTTCTTCTGAAATTCCAGACTTAACAGCAGGGAATTTGTGTGTGCCACTTAAAAACTGGTGTCCAGTAGTGGGCGTTTGGCCTAGCAGTGAGTTGACAGTTAAATAATTACATCCCATATCAGAATACCTGGGTTTATATCCTAGCTTCACTCCCAATTCTAGCTTCCTGCTGCTGCAGACCCTGGGAGGCAGTCATGATGACTCAAGTAATTGAGTCTGCCAGCCATGTGGTAGACTTGCATAGAGTTCCTAGCTCCTGGCTTGGGCTTGGCCCAGATCCAGCCATTGCAGGCCTTTGGGGAGTAAATCAGCAGGTGGGAGATTCTCTCTCTCTCTCTCGATCTCTCTCTCTCTCCCTCTCCCTCTCTCTCGATCTCTCTCTCCTCTCCCTCTCCTTTTCCCTCTCAAATGAAAATAAATATTGAGGTCTACATGCTTCCTTCTCATAAAAAATATGAGTACTCAGCCAGATGAAGCTACAATTTCTAAAATGCAGCAAAAATCTGAAATGGAGCAGTGACTGGTCCCCTTCCCCCATTTAAATGGTACTCCCTGGTCCCCATGGCCACTTCAGTTTGAGGTCTCTCCCCTGAGCCATGCCTTGCACTAAGGGAGACTGTATTTAAACATTACCCATATGCTAATCTGTCTGACGTGTGTCTCCAGTCCATACCTCCTCTCTAAGCTCCACCCAGGAATATGTGAAACTCTACTTGGCATCTCTTAGATATCCCAGCTAGCATTTTGGATATGAAACCTGAGAGTTCAGGGGCTGGGGTTGTGGCATAGTGGGTAAAGCTCCTGCCTGCAACCCCAGCATTCCGTATGGGTCCTGGTTAAAGTCATGGCTGCTCCACTTCTGATCCAGCTCATTGCTAATGGACAGGAAAAGCAACAGAAGATGGCCCAAGTGTTTGAGCCCCTGTCATCCACATGCGAGATCCAAAAGAAAACTCAGGGCTCCTGACTTCAGCCTGGCTCAGCCCTGGCCATTGTGGCCATCTGGGGAATAAACCAACAGATGGAAGATCAATATCCCCAGAGGAAAAGAGTTGAGAAATACTTTAGGTGGAAGGATGGTGGAGGCTGAGTGAACTTGAGAGGCAGCACAATGCCCAGATGTCAGGGCCAATGGTGACGATGGGCACAAAGGGTTGTAGTGGATGTAGGTAACTTTTCAGTAGAGAGAAGAAAGAAGGGTGGTGGTGAGTGGGGCTTGGGGTTAATGGGGTGGTGATGTTCTGGGATATAAACTGTGTGGCTGAGGACTCTTGGTTGGGGACAGGGCTGGAAGCCTCTTGGAATCAACAGAGCTAGAGACAGGTTGCCAGCTTCCCTTCAGTGGATTAAACCCCCTCCATATAGATCACTTGCGAAACAGCAAACACACCAGGAAAAGCTGTGAAAACACCACTCCATGTCAGCCTGAGCAAAGCTACTCTCACCACACCACTCTCACCAATCACCAATCAGATCAGCAAAACAAGTTATGTGCTTGACTGATGATGTACTTGACTGGCAGGAGCACATGTTCTTGGCATGCCTGCCAGTGTGAAGGGGAATGTTACCAGGTCGACTTCTGCAGACTGACAAAAAGCTATTAGCGGGGCTGGCGCAGTGGCGCAGCGGGTTAAAGCCCCAGCCTGAAGCACCGGCATCCTATATGGGTGTCGGTTCAAGACTGGGCTGTTCCACTTCCAATCCAGCTCTCTGCTATGGCCTGGGAAAGCAGTAGAAGATGACTCAACTCCTTGGGCCCCTGCACCCACATGGGAGACCTGGAAGAAGCTCCTGGATCCTGGCTTCGGATCATCTCAGCTCTGGCTGTTGCGGTCATTTGGGGAGTGAACCAGCAGAATGGAAGACTTCTCTCTCTCTCTCTCTCTCTCTCTCTCTCTCTCTCTGGATCTACCTCTTTCTGTAATTCTTTCAAATAAAAATAAATATATTTTTTAAAAAACTATTAGCATGCAAAATGCTATTTGTTCCTTCTGATATAAATGTGGTGTGTATTTTCATCATGCTAAATCTGTTGTCCTTTAGTGTTTCTTTTTCCCTTTTCTGTCTTTCTATAATTGTTCCTGACTACGAAGTAATTCACATTTTTTATTAAACCATCAAACATAAAAAAACTTAGGAGAAAATGGAAATTTCCTGTATCTCACTGATCAGAGTTAACAGTTTGGTTTATACTTTAAGATTCTCCTCCTTCCATATGCACCTTTTAAAAAATACACACAATACATCTATATACAGACATGCACAATCACATAATCCGCCTCCCCAAAATAACACTCAGTGGGGCTCTAAGATAAGAGTAACTAGGACAAGATTCCCTCCAGCTTTAAAAATAGGACAAACTACATAAAACAATGGTGTTTTTTTTTTTTTTAAAACAGTAGACATCAAGCAATGAAGGGCAATAATTCCTAAGAAATGAAAATCAAATAACATAGGCCCTATGATTGCCCAGAGGAACTGTGACACAGGAGGAGGAAACTGAAGCACATCCTGGCAGACAAGAGACCAAGGTCAGGAAAGGTCATTTCAGGATAGAGCAGTGGAAACAGGATGCTGCCCAGACAGCATTCCAGGGATCTGTGAGGGTCGCCCAGTATCTGAGACTGATCACAACATGCAAGGAAACAACCCAACTTTGGGGAAACCTTTCCAGAAGAATGTGAAAATGGTGTCTGGCACAGAAAAGGGCTGGAGTGCCTTTTTCCTCCAGTCAGTCTGGAAAATCTTATAATCCATAGAACACTGGACAGAGCACTTAGAAGTGGCTGTGGAGACAGTATTGAGCATGAGTCATGCCAGCAAGACCATAGTGATCAGATTACATGCGTCTAGACAAAGGACAGACAGATGGACAGAACTGGACCCACACACATGTACACAACTGATTCTTGGACCTGAAAGTTTATATTGCAAGGTGTTGATCATAGGGAAAACCAGTGTGCAGAACAGAGTCAGAACTGGACCTATACACATGTACACAGCTGATTTTTGGACCTAAGAGATGAGACAATCAACAGAATCAACTGGATCCACACACGTGTACACAACCTATTTTTGGATCGGAAATGTAAAATGGCACAACCGCTCTGGAAAACTATTTGGCAGTTTCTTAAAAAGTTAAATATGTTTGTACTTTACATCCAGCCATTATACTCATGTTCATTGATCTAAACACAAATGTTCATGGCAGCTTTATATGTAACAGCCCGAATGTTCAACAGGTAAGTGGGTACACAAATTATTAAATACTCTCATAGTGGGACAATACATAGAAAAAAAAAAAAAAAGAAATCCACGACTGGTAAATGCAACAACACGGTGAATCTCAAGATGATAATGCTGAGTCAGGGAAGTCAGACTACCTGATTCCGTGTGCATACATGCAAGCACATGCACCTATACAACAGTGACATGAAGCAGACCAGTGATTGTTCAGGATGTGGGTAGGTAGAGGGGGTGAGAATATAAGTGGGTATGCTTGCTATCTTTATCCTGGTGATGGTTTCCTGAGTATGCATATATGTCAAAATGTATGAAACTGTTCACTTTAAAAATGTGAAATTAATTGTAGGTCAACTATACTTCCAGAAAAGTTGTTAAAGTTCTGAAAGTGAGTGTGTTCACCTAACAGTGTATCGTGGGACATCTTCCTGTTCAGTGTCTACACAGAGTCTTCAGCTTTGAAGAGCCACAGAGTTTCCATCACATTGGAACCCCTTAATGTACTTAATCAGTCTGGTAAGACTGGGAATTTAGGTTGTTTTCCTTTATTTTTCTTTCCATGTAAAAGTTTGTACACTTACAGGAAAATTGTTAAAGGATAGATCCCTACAAATAAAGTCATTCAAAATTGGATGTAATTCCAAACTGCCCTTCAAAAGACTTGCCCAAACTGAATACTCCTAAAATGACACAGTCCCTTTCACTAATTTTTGTGTACTTCATTAGCAAAACTAATCTCTCAATTTGTATTTTATTTAGCCAGGTTACTTTTATGAAGTATAACCTTTGTATTTCCATATCAAAGAATTGCCAGTTCATAATTTTGGCTCATTTTTAATCATACATTTAGTCTCTTATATAATCATAACCCTCTGGCCATTATACATGTATGAAACCATTCCTATATCATCGTCTATCAACTTTATTCTTAGCTCTGAATAATTTTTTTAAAACTTTTAAAAAACTATGCAATCAAGCCTGTCAGTCTTCTTACTTCTTTGTGGTCCTTAAGTCACAGGCCTCCAGTAAGCAACTGCACAAAGCTGCCCTTACCCAGCGAGGCCAGATTCCTGTAGTTCTCCAGCATCACATCCCTGTACAAGTCCTTCTGGGCAGGCTGCAGCTGCTGCCACTCCTCCTGGGTGAAGTCCACAGTCACGTCCCTGAATGTCACTGACTCCTGCAAGAGGAAACCCACATCCACTCACTGCTTATGGAGGCCTGGAGAAGTGGCTGGAAAAGCCGAGAGGATTTAAAAAAGTATCTGAAAGTGATTTTGACAAGGCACAGGGTTCTCAAGTTTTCTTGGTGACTAACTGAATTTGGTGCTACTCTGACAGAAATAAAACAAGTATGAGACAGTGTGGAACAGAAAGCCATTGATTTGTGTAGCACACAGAAGGGAACCAAAGGCAAACTGATTACAGCCCAGTATGCTGACATGCGCTTGAGGGCATAGCAGCACAGAATCCTGGATGGAATTCACCATGCATCTCACTTCCCCAAGCCCCTGCTAAGCACCAGGCACTAAGCTAGACACTGGGATACGGACAGGAAAAGTTCAAGAATTAGTTCCTCATTAGAGAAGCAAAGACCAAAGCACATGTAATTTGGTGAATTCAATAATGAACAAATCAACAGAGCTCATAAGGCACCTAACTAATAGCAGCTTTGGTGTCCAAGAAGACTTTGAAAGGCTGACACTGAGTACAGTGAGGAAAATTAATAAGGTGTCCTTGCAAGGAGATTCTTGTTAGAAGTTAGAGCCTGGATTAAGACCTGAGGCTTAAAAGGCAAACCAGACTACTGGAAAATTACAAGAAACCCATGTGGTAGAAGCTGTGCCTTCCCAGTAGACATCATAAACCAATGTCTAAATGAATATGGCAGCATGGGAGACACTGATGACACCCACCTCTCACTTATTATTCTAAATGGATGTTATGGGTTGAATTATGTGCCTTTCCAACCCATATGTTGAAGATATGACCCCAGAACCTCAATAATGTGACCTGATCTGCAAACAGAGGCATACTGTTATGGTTTGAGTGGGTCCCTTGATGTTAACGTTTTAGCAGCTTGGACCCCATTGTAGTGGCATCAAGATGGGCTGTTTTTTTTAAATATTTATTTATTTTGAAATGTTACAGAGAGGGAAAAGAAGAGACACAGGGAGAAAGAGAGAGAGAGAGAGAGAGAGAGAGAGAGAGAGAGAGAGATCTCCCATCTGCTGGTTCACTCCTTAGATGGCTGCAATGGCCAGGACTGGTCTGGACCAAAGCCAGGAGCTTCATTCATGGGTGGCCTAACACCTAAATTCATTCATGGGCCTAACACTTCTCCCAGGCCATTAACAGGGAGCTGGATTAGAAGTGGAGCAGCTGAGACATGAACTGGCACCCATATGGCATCAAAGGTGGCAGCTTTACCTGCTATGTCACAGTGCCCGCCCTGTTGGTGTGATTTTTAAGAGGCAGGGACTACTGGGAAGCCATTAATTAGATCATTTGGGCACCACCCTTGGAAGGCATTAATGCAATTCTCTTAGGAACCTGATTCAGTTCTTAACAGAGCAATAATAAAAGATAATAAAGGAGCAAATCAAGGGGCCAGTGCTGTGGTATAGTGAGTAAAACCCCTGCCTGCAGTGCTGGCATCCCATATGGCGCCGGTTCGAGTCCCAGATGCTCCACTTCAGATCCAGCTCTCTGCTATGGCCTGGGAAAGCAGTGGAAGATGGCCCAGGTCCTTGGGCTCCTGCACCCATGTAGGAGACCCAGAAGAAGCTCCTGACTCCTGGCCTTTGATCGGCACATTTCCAGCTGTTGCAGCCAACTGGGGAGTGAACCAGCAGATGGAAGACCTCTCTGCCTTTCCTTCTCTCTCTGTGTAACTCTTTCAAATAAATAAATTAATCTTAAAAAAAGAGCAAACCTGCCTCTTCCCTGTGCTGTGGATTCCTGTTTTGCTGTGTGATCTCTCCCTACCACCATGACGCCATCTGCATGAAGTGACACAGGTAAGGAGGCTCTCGAGAGCCCTTGACATGCTTGTTGGACTTTCAGCCTCCAGAACTGAGAGCTAAATAAACCTTACTTCTTTATAAAGTTCCAAGCCTTAGGTATTTGGTTATAGCAACAGGAAACTGACTAATATGCATACACACAGAGAGAATGTTAGAGTGATGCTGCCATAGCCAGCTGGAACTGAGATGGGGAACAGAACCTTCCTCCATGCCTCAGCAGGAGCTGGGCCCTGCCAGTCTCTTCATCTGGGACTTTGCCAGCCTCCAGAACTGGGAAGTAACACATTTCTGTCATTTAAGCCCCCAGTCTGTGGAACTTATTTGTAGCGACCCAGGAAACTAATAGAGTGCTTCACACATACTAGTTCATTTACTGATTGAAGTCAGGCCTAGAAGGCAGGTAGTGATACTATTAAAATAATATTATGCCTATTAATAAGCTATCATCTTCTATCCCCAAAGCCTTCCTCCTATGCTCTGTGTTATAATGCGGGGCCTGTGATGCTAGCCACGAGTATTTCTGCCTTACCAGCTGAATGCTCCTTAGGTTTGGCCAAGAAGGGTCACTGGAGGGAGGTAAGAAAGTAGAGATAAAGAAACCCAGGCATGGAGATGGTAGGTCCCTGAACCAGATCACATAGGCAATGAGTGGGATGAGCTCCAGGTCCTGGCTTCTAATCTCTGCTGGCATCAATTTCTCATGAACAGCCTGTATTATCCAAATATGGATCTTTATTCTGCCCTCCTATCCCTAACCCTGTTCACACCTGCTCCTCTCCAAACTTGCTCTGCCCTGGTCCACTGGCCTTTCTCTTGCTCTCTGAATATACCCAGGCCTTTGCACTTGTGTTTGCTCTGCCTAGAATGTTCTTCCTTTAGATCCTGGCTAAGCTGATGCCTTATTCATTCTTCTGGAGGTCTGAGCAGGCCAGTGACAGAATCTGATTATGATCTTGGTGAAAGTAGACTCTGCATTTGTAAGCCCATGCTCACAGAAGCATTGTTTCCAACATCTAGAAGATTAGAGCGACCCAAGTGTCCATTGATAGATGAAAAGGTACACAAAATGTAGTCTCTTCATGTAATAGAATACTACTGCATCTTGAAAAGATTGATAATGCTACATCATGGATGAAACTTGAGAACATTATTAAGTGAAATAAACCAGTCACAAAGGACAGATACTATATAATTCCATTCACCTGACATACCCAGAGTAGACAAATTCGTAGAAAATAGAATGGTGTTTGCCAAGGGATAGGGAGGAGGGAATGGAAAGTTAGTGTTCAATGGATATAGAGTTTCTTTTGCAAAAGAATAGGGAGAATGATGGTGTTGATGGTTACACAACGTTATGAATGTGTAATGTCTTGAGCTGTACACTTAAAAATAGTTAAGCTAGAAAATTTTAAGTTATGTGTACTTTGCCACAATACAAAGAGAAAAAGTTATAAACACTGCTCTCTCTCTCTCTCTCTCTCTCTCTCTCTCTCTCTCTCTCTCTCTCTGTCTCTCTCTCCACCTCACCAGCTGCCATGTTATGAGAAGTCCTGTGGACAGACCCACCTGTCCAGCTACTGAAGCCTCCCACTAGCATGCACATGCATGAACTACCTAGTAAGTGATTCTCAGGTCCTGTGGAGCCTTCAACAGGCCACAACCTTGTGAACACCCTTAAACTATGCAAAATAATAAAATACCTGTTTCTTTAAGCTGCTGAGTTTTGGGAAACCTCTATGCAGTGATGGAAGATGTACTCAGGGAGGGTGTGCACTTCATTAAAAAAAAAAAGAAAGAAAAAAATATGGGGATATGTCTTCATATGGCATGTTTTTGAGGAGTATAAAGATCAGTTTGCAAACTGTGGCTTGGCCTTTACAAGTTAGGTGAAGGTGTAAAAGCGAAACCTTCAATTACCTAACCTCTTCATGCTTCTGTTTTCTCCTCTGTCAAGTGGGGAGAATAACAGCACCCACTTTGCAGGGAGGTTGTGAGGTTGTCCATCTGCTGGTCTACTGCTGAATTCCCAAATGCTAGAACAGTGCCTGACACACAGTGGGACCCTGACAGAGGCAGCATGCTGCATGCTGGAGCCAGATGTCTTGCTTTGAATCTGAGTTTGGCCATTTAGCAAGAAGCTCTTGGCTCCTGGCTTCGGATTGGTACAGCTCTGGCCTGTTGTGGCCATCTAGAGAGTGAACCAGCAGATGGAAGACCTCTCTCTCTGTCTTCATCTCTCTCTGTAACTCTTTCAAATAAATAAAATTTAAAAAAAAGCTTAAGCCAAAAATCCCAACCATACTGAAATAAAAACAATCAACAAATCCTTCTAAATAATGTAGGTTAAAGAAATCAAGAAAAGAATCACAGATGAGTTAAAAATGAAGACATCATGGAGCAGCCATTTGGAAAATAATGTGTCAATTCCTTAAATAGTTAAACAGAGCTAACCATGTGACCCAGCAATTCCAACCCTAGGTATACTCTCAAGGGAAACGCGAACACATGTTCCAATGAAGACCTGTACACAGATGTTTATGACAGCATTATCCATAACAGCAAAAGAGGATACAACCCAAAGTCTATGAACTGACCAATGGATAAATAAAATGTGCATTTTCATACAATGGAATATTATTCAATCATGAAAAGAAGCGATATTCTATTTGTGATACCACATGGATGAACTCCATAAACATTCTGCTAAGTGAAAGAAGCCAGTCACAAAAGACTATATACTATATGATTACATGTGTATGAAATGTCCAAAATAGGCAAATCTATATAGACAGAAAGTAAATTAGTATTTGCCAAGAGCTAGAGCTTCATGGTGGAAAACAGGATTGAATGCTGATGAATACATGATACTTTTAGGGGGGAGATGAAAATGTTCTAAAATTGATTATGTTGGCTGACAACTCTGTGAATACACCAAAAACCAATGAATTGTACACTTTGTGGTATGCAAAATTTATCTCAACAATTGTATTAAACAAAGGAAAATATAAAATACCAACATAACATAGTCAACATAACCTGACCAACACATTTATAGAGCAAAATAAATGCCAGGTGGATTCAAAAGATCATTGTTAACATTCAAATGATAAATGGCATAAAGAAAATATAGATGTTATCTGTCTGTGGATGAAGAAATCTTTTCACAGCTTAAAAACTATGGAAGATACCATAACAGGAGACATTAACAGATTTGATTTTAAAAATACAAAATGCTTCTGTACTGAAAAACAGAGTAACATAATAACTAAGAAACAAAAAGCAAACCTGGGAAGAATATTCATCACAAATATTTACACACACAAACACATACATACACATACATTTCTCTAAAATCTTTAATACTAAGATTTCTGTAGGCTGATAAAGCAAGAGATGGGTCTGCTCACAGAAATGATGAAAAAATAAATACTTAGTAAAAATTGAACCTCACTAATAATAACAATGCTACTGATAGAGATCATTTGACATCATTTGAACCCTATAACACTCAAGTTTTATATCATTTGTCATCTATATCCATCTGTCAATATATCCATTTCTCCTTTATATTCTCCAAGCAGAACAACTACCTGACAATGGCCAGTGTAAGCTAGTGGAGGCTGTCTCCTTCACATTGCTGGGAATATATACTGCCACAGATAATGTGGAAAGGCATTCAAAGACTTAGGAAAGGCCTCAAATATATTCAACCCATTATTCTTTTTCAAGAATCACTTCTAGAGAAATCACATAAAATTCAAGAGAAGATAAATGTTCAGTGTGTCCTTTCTAACACCGTTTATACCATGAATACCTGGGCACCAATAAATGTCCAACAAGAAGGGAACCATTAAGTAAACCAGGACAGGGCCAATAGGTAAAATTTTTATGTAGCCATCAAGACAGATATCACAGAAGAGTTTTTAATAGGGTGGAGAAGTGCTCAGTATAAAATATTTTATGCAAAAGCAGGATATAAAAATGCTTATCCAGAGAGATTCTATATTTTGCAAAAACAATATGCATATCCAAGGAGGGAATAATCCAAGGTGTAAATAATCCAGAGTATTTATCCTTTGAGGTAAGATTGTGGGTGAATTTGATTATCTTAGCTATGTTTTTCTGATTTTCTAAGGCTTTTATTCTGTTCATGCTTTTCCTTACCTATCAGAAATTTTCTTTTACTTTTATATTATTTACATTACCATAAAGTGATTTTTAAAAAGTCAAAGTCACGAGTACTGGATGAACACTGGGGTACACTGATTATGCAGCCCAAACAAGTGATGTTTATAAAGTTTTCAAAGGCAGAAGGACATTTCTACTGCACAAAGCTGGGTGAAAAACACCCCAAGATTAAGATGGCAGAGCCAGTATTTGGTCAACTTTTAAAAATAATCTTCGGAGTGGGGCTTAGTCTAGCAATTAAAATGCTCGTTAAGACACCCAGGTTCTACATGGGAGTTCCTGGATTTGATGCCCAGCTCTTGTTCTTAGCTCAGATTCCTGCCAACGCAAACCCTGGGGGGCAACACTGATGGCTCAAGTAGTTAGGTTCCTGCTCCCTATATGGCAGACCACTTGGGTGACCTGACTTAGCTCCCACCTCCTTGCTTTGACCTAGCCATGACCTGCCCAATCCCTGCCACTGGGGATATTTGAGGAATGAACAAGCAGATGGGAGGACTTTCTCTCTCTCTCTCTTACATTAAAAAATTCCTCAGAGAAGGGAGAAAATAAATGAATATTCAAGTATCCACATGGTCACCCTTAAGTAGGACTATGGGTGAATTATGTTGTCTTACTGATACTTTATTTTGCCAGCTTTATAGAACCAGCATTTATATATTATTATTTTTATAATGAAATATTATGTCTGGCAAAGAAGAAGATTTAGAGAAAAATACAACAGTCTCATGGATACTACCCAGAGAAAGATATAAACCTCATGGCTATAACTGAAGATGTCCATGTGCCCTGGCCTTATACCCTTTGCCTCCTCTTCCCTCTCTCTGTAGGTGCCCACTATCTTAGATGAGCTGGGCCTATATACTCTGTTTTCACTGCTCACATGGGTGCTCATAAGGGCCATTAGTGCTGCCTGCCCATTGGTAGACATGACATGTTTAGCATTATCCTGCCTGGGTTCTTTTGCTCACTCCCAGGTACTCCCCCTGTGTCTCCTGAGAGTCCTGAGGGCAGGGATGCCCACTTTCAAGCTACCCTGCCCCCCACAGCCAGGGTCAGGAACAGATGTGGGATGTTGGCCTGTCCTTCTCATCAGGGCAAACACAGACCCCAGGAGATGAGCTGGGGACATGGGTCCTGTAGGGGTTCAGGCAGTAGAGGGTCCTCTGAGGGTAGAAGCCCAGCCCTCTGGGCTCATGTCTTTGGAAAGGAGGGCAAGAGGGCAACAGGACTCACCGGGGCCTCGTCAGTAAGCAGCTGAGCAGCAATCCCTCCGCTGCCCATGATGGCCAGGGGACTGGAGGATGGGCCTTAGCAGGTGCAGGGCTGTGTGGTGGTGGGGGAAAGGAAGGAAGCACATGAGAGAATGGGCTTTGGCCTGCTTTACAAATGCAGACAGGACAGATACACACATATACATCAACAGTAAACATTTTTGGGACTCACTGCATGCAAGGTACTTGATAAATATATCTCATTTAATCTTCCAACCACCCTACAAGATAGATACTGCTATCCATACCAATTCACAGATGAAGAAACTGAGGCCCAAAGAAATAAGACAGTTGTTCAATAAAGAAACAAAACAGTGCCTTGCTAGACACTCGAGTGAGGTAGAGCATGTCCAGCTGAGTGCATATGCTTACCCACTAGGCTAGGCTGCCTCCCAAATGCGTACCCACATATACTGGTACAGATACTCCCCAAACACACACACCCAAATGCATTTTCACAGGCAGCTGGGGAAGCAGAATCCCTACCTTCTCCTAGCTGTTCTCCCTCATCCCCTCCTTGGGTCTGGGTGCTGGACCAAGACCCTTCCAGATGACCTAGCAGTGCCCTTCCACCCTCTGGGGACTTCCCCCAAGACTTCATGAAATCATGTGAGGTTCAACTACTAGATACACATAAGGAGCCAGTCCTGGCACATAGTAGGAGCTCAATAAACATGTACAGTCATTATTCCTGTTGATGTTAGTCACATATTTCCCAAAGAGTGGGACACAGCTGTCTAGAGATTCAAAGAGTAGACTCACTGGGTAGAAACATATCCCAGCCCCATTCTCTTTCAATTCTGACAGGCTTGGGAGAAAGTCAGTGGCTACTCATGTGTCTTATCTGTCACCCCCAAATTCATTAGAACCACATGGCTTTACCCTTTTCACAGTAATGTTCAGTTTCTATTTACAGTAGTCACAGAGTGTCCTTTTAATCCAAGCTGGATTAAGTTAAAAAAAATCAGTGACCAATGTAAATTTTTTAAAAAAATGAAAAAGGATAGTTGGCATAGGTTAGTGGCAATTTTAGGAGACTGAAACATGGGGGCTTAGTCTTGGTTCCACAGAGTAGAGACTATCATTTTGTTTTATTGTACCTCCAGCATGTAGGACACTATTTGGCACACAAAAGGCACCCAAACATGAACTTGAATAAATAAATGAACTTCTAGCATCAGCAAGAATGCAAGGAAACATGCCTTTTCACTCGCAGCTGAAGCACTGTGAGTCACTCAACTTTTTCCAGGAAGTGAGTTGGCAACACAGAAACCTCATAACCCAATGACTCTCTTCCTGGAAATCTACCCATAGCAACAAAAGCTCCGTGTAAAAGGTTATACAGAGGAAAAAAGGAAGTTAATTGCAGCACCATTCCTAGAGGCAAAACAAAATAAAACACCAAGCCAAGCATTAAACCAAAAAACATCTGAAAACAAAATTAACAAACATTTCTAAAGGAAAGAGAGTGAATAAATAGTGGGGAATCCATCCTATGAGCTGCCAGGTCACTTCTAGGAAGCAGTAGTTGGTTTCACATCTCTTGACAGGCCTTTGGTTTCACTAAGTGAGAAAAGGAAGTTACATGGTTTTATGCAAAATTTCAACCCTTTGTGAGAAACAAATGAGTACTCATGGATGTGGCTGCTTCTGGTGAACATTTTTAATCTGGGGAAGGCTGTGACATGAACCCAGGCTGGTGTCTCAAGGGGCTGGAGTGGGAATGACAAGGGAGCTGGAGGTTACTAATTTTTTTCTATTCCATTGGATTATTTCCCTGGGAGCTGCAACCCTGTATTACTGCCAAGAATTTTTTTTAACAGAACTTAATTTGTAAACAAACTTAATTTGATTTGCAAGTAAATTTTATTTATTCCTTCCAAGTTAGTGGTCTGACTTTCACCCCATTCCATGAGGTCAACAACACTGGCTCTTTATCAGAGCTGACTTACTCAGAAAGCACAGAGCTTGGGACCCATGTCACCTATAGGAACCTACTGGAAGATCTTAATTTATTTTAAAATCATAAGAAAATGATGACTCTAATCCAGCCTGTATTTTATTTGTCTTTATACTAATGGAATCACAAAATAACATTTTTAGTGTTCTTCTCTCTCTCTCCTCTCTCTCTCTGTAATAGAGCAGGGGGCCCATGAAAGCAAAGTGCCCTTAAATGTCATAAAGTGGTCCTGGAAGTGACTTGCCAAGGATGGCCAGGGACCTGAGACCCAGTATGGCCTCAGATCTGTGTGGCTGCCAAGCCAGTGGCTTCCTCCTTCCACTTCCCCTCTGAATCTTCTGTAATGTCCTTCCTTCCTTTTCCATTGTTTCTAAAGGGAGAGTTTTTTGGGGGAAAATCTTGCAACCTAATCTCAGGTAAGCAGAAAGGGGAAAAAAGAAAAAGGGATCTTCCATCCATCTGGTGGAGAATTATGAAGGCTCTGGAACCCAGATGCCTGTGTGCAGCCTTGGTGATCCACTTAATATCCTCAAGCCTCAGTTTCTCCATCTGTAGGAGGGGATGACGATGGTTCCCCTCAGAATTACTGGGAGGCCTATAAATGAGGTAGTTACTGCAAAGTGCTCAGAACAGCACTGACTCAAGGCCTGATCCCTGAATAAATCAATCCTTCATTGGTCATAAGGAGCAGGGGAAGAGGACTCTTCCAGAAGTCTGCCCCCCCCCTTTAAGAAAGTCCTGTGGGAAATAGAAGACCCCCCCCCCCAATCACTCACACACTTCCTGCCCTTCCAGAGCTTTCCATGAGCCAGGCAGGTTTCTGAGGGCCATGAAAATGCTTGGGAATTGGAACGAGGGTTACCCTAGAAGTGGGGGGTGAGAAGACCTGTCCTTGGAAGGGGCACACTCGGATGCACCCGCACAAATACATCCACCAGGACACAGCAGGACAAGTGCAAAAATAGGGAGAGAGACACTGGCGGGGCTGGGCTTCTGGAGGGGTTCACTCCCAGTGACACTCAGAGACAGGTGGGCAGCCAGAGGGCAGACTCACATAGACAGAGATCGAGACCCACAGCACAGACCAGGCCACGGCAGTCACCAGGAGATGGGCAAGGCTCACAGGGCCGCCCTCAGAGGTCCAGGAGGACCAGGACAAGTACGTGCCTGTGCACACACACAAGATGAGAGGACTCTGCAGGATGGCACCCTCACAGCCAGGAACAGCTTTCCTGTCTGCTGCGCTCCCTCGGCTCACACACCCTTTCCCCTCAGCCCGCACACCTCTCCCTCAGCCCGCACACCTCTCCCTCAGCCCGCACACCTCTCTCCTCAGCCCGCACACCCTCTCCCTCAGCCCACAAGTCCTCTAGGGGCTCCACCCTTTCTGGGGCTGGGGTCTGCCTCCCAGGTAGAGTGTGGGCGGGACTCCGCCCCGCCCAGCAGCCGGACTCACCCGCGAGCTCCGCCGCCGGGACAATGACCGCGCCCGCTAGGCCCGCCCGGCCGCAGTGCGCCTGCGCTGGTGGTGCTGGACTACATTTCCCAGCAGGCCGCGCGCCGCCGCCTCCCTTTGAGCGCCTCCTGCTGAACGGAGCCGGACGGAGCCGAATGGCGCCGGCGCGGGACAACAGCGCCCTTGCGTCTTCCAGAGGCCTCGCTGGCTAAGGCCGAGGAGTCTGGGTGCATAGGAAGCGAGAAGAAACTGGGGGAAGGGGGCAGAGAAGGATGGAGAGGGAGGAGCAGCTGGGAGAGAGGACTGGAGGCGCCCGGGTGAGGGGAGCAAGCGGCAGGGAGGGAGACGGGAGGTGATGGGGAACGTGTGGAACCGGGGCTGAGGAGGAGGAAAGGGATGGAGAGAGGACAGGGGCGGGCCTCTGGCCAGGCGCGCCACTCATCCCGCTCAGGCACCTGCTCCGCCCTGACTCCGGCTTCCTGCTAATGCGCGCCTGGGAGGAAGCAGGTGATGGCTCAGGTCCTTGGGCCAGCAACGTGGGACCTGCATAAGTTCTCAGCCACTGCCCTTGGCCTGGCCCAACGCTGGCCGCTGTGGGCATCTGGGGAGTGAACCAGTGTGTGGAAGAGAGAGGGAGAAAGTTAGAAAGGCTAGAAGGGAGGTTGCGGGGTGTGAGGAGGCCGAGAAAGGAAGCTTATGGGTTCTGCAGACAGCCGCTGACCACCCTGAGGGATGACCCTGGACAGCTTTGGGCCTGATAATCGTGCATATTTGTTTGCATAGAAACGAATGAGCACAGTGAGTGTTAAATAAAATGTGTATGAGGCCAGTGCTTTGGACTGAGCTGCTGCAGTGAGCTCAGCAGACGAGATCACAATGGAAATACAGTACTGATGCTGAAGTCACCCGAACTAAGCTGTGTATCTGACCTAATGAGAAGTCAGTAGAGAAACAGACACCTGCCTGCTAGTCTAAGAAATCCCCTGTGTTTTGAAGTTTTTTTTAAAAAAAAAAAAACTTTTATTTTTTATTTATTTGAAAGGCAGAATTAGAGAGGGAGAGAGAGCGCAAGCTTTTTTATCTCTGGGTCATTTCCCAAATGCCTGCAATGCCCAGGCAGGCCAGACCTTTTTCCACATGGTGCAGGGCCCAAGCACTTGGGCCACCTTCTGCTGCTTTCCCAGGTGCATTAGCAGGGAGCTGGATTAGAAGTGGAGCAGGTGGGTCTTAAACTGGCACCCATATGAGATGCTGGTGTCACAGGAGGCAGCTTAAGCCATTACGCCACAATGCCAGCCCCCCCCCCCTTTTAAAATAAGACAAGCTATTGTGAAACATCCAGTCCACTTTTTATTTTCCATTTCTGCTTTTCTCTATTCTTTTCAGCCTATCAAGGTATCTACTCAGATACACCCATCAGGTCCTTCCTACTACTTTATTGAACAAGGTGATGTGCAATTACAAATAAAAACCTATTAGATATTTAAATTTGCAGTCAATTTGTTAGTGGTAAACTACAAAGACAAAAACACTGGATGTGTGAGTAAACACAAAGAAATAAATAATAGCCTTAGTTTTTTTGAAAAGCATTTTGAGATAAATGTAGACTCAGGCACATGAAGTTATAATATAGAAATAATAGAGCCATGTGTATGCTTTACCTAGTCTCCCCCAGTGACAACATCTTGCAATGTCACAGATAGGAGATTGATCCTGTCACGTCAGGATTCAGCACATTTCCATCAATACAAGGATCCTTCCTGCTGTCCTTTCACGGTCATAGCCACCTTCCCCCAGACCCCTGACTGTCTGTAATCTGTCCTCCTGATCTATAATTTTGTTTTCTCAAGAATGTTAGAGAAACAAAATCATACAGTATGCGCACTATGGGATTGGCTTTTCAAAAATTCAATGTAATTCTCTGGAGATACAGCTACCTGTTATAGGTACCAATAGTTTATTACTTTATCATACAGTGTTACTTCAGGGGATGGATGAACTGCAGTTTGGATGCCACATTTGGGTTGTTTCTGTCTGAGGCTGTTACAGCTGGGGTGTCTGTATGTGTGTGTGTGTGTGTTGTGGTAAGAACACAATAAAACATCTATTTCTGAGAGAGACACAGACAGAGAAAGATCTTCCACCCACTGGTTCACTCCCCAAATGGCTGCAATAACTAGTGCTGGGGCAGGCTGAATCCAGGAGCCAGGAATTCCATCTGGATCACACATCTGGGTGGGCAGGGGCCCAAGTACTTGGGCCATCATTCACTGCCTTCCCAGGTGCGTTAGCAGGGAGCTGGTTTGGAAGCAGAGCCACTAGTAAGCCAGCACTCTGATTAAGGATGCTGGTGTCACAAGGAGCTGCTCCATCCACTGCACCAAAATGCTGGCTCTTGTGTCTGGCTTATTTCACTCAGCATAATGTCCTCAAGATTCATCCATGTTGTAGCGTGTGACAAGATTTACTTCTTTTATAAATTTTAAAAATATTTTGGGGAAGGTGTTGTGACACAGTGGGTTTAGTTGCTGCTGGGGACACCAGCACCCCATATCAGAGTTCCTGGGGTCAATTCCCAAGGCCATTTTTTAAAAAGATTTATTTACTTATTTGAGAGGCAGAGAGGGAGGTCTTCCATCCATGGTTCACTCCTCAAATGGCCACAATGGCTGGAGTTGGGCTGATCCAAAGCCAGGAGCTTCTTCCAGGTCTTCCATGCAGTTGAGCCATCTTGCACTGCTTTCCCAGGCCATAAGCAGAGTGCTAGATCTGAAGTGGAGCAGCTGGGACTCCATCCTGTGCCCATATGGCATGCCGGTGCCATTTTAAGAGGCGGCCTAGCCCACTGCACCATAGTGCTGGCCCCCACCTCCACTTCTGATCCAGCTTTCTGTTAATGTACACCCTGGGAGGCAGCAGAGATTGGCTCAAGCACTCGGATCACTGCCACCAATGTGGGAGATATGGATGGGGTTCCTAGCTCCTAGCTTAGGCTTTTCCCAGCCCTGCCTGGCTGCTGTGAGCATTTGGGGAATGAACCAGTAGATGGACAATCTATATCTATCTCCATCTCTTTCTCTATCTGTGTGTCATTCTGCCTTTCAAATAAGTGAAAACAAGTACATAAACTTAAAAACATATTTCATTTATCTCCCTGTAAATATATTATCTTTTAAATTATTTATTTATTTATTTGAAAGGCAGAATTACAGAGAGGCAGAGGCAAAGAGAGAGATCTTCCATCCACTGGTTCCATTCCCCAGATGGCCACATCTGTTGGTGAACACTGACTCTGTTTCTACCTCTCAATTATGGTGAGTCTCAATACAATGAACATGAAAGCAAAAATATCTTGAGATCCCAACTCCAATTCTTTTGGATATATTTGAGGGCAGTTCAACAAGTTGATGGAAAAATCAAATTAGAAGATAGGTTTGTCTTGGTGTTAAAAACTTGCAATCCTATTTATTTGGATACCCAGATGGGGACTGTAGGATCATATGGAATTTCTATTTTTATTTTTTTTAGGAATTTCATACTGTCCCACAGTAGCTCCACCACTTTGCATTCTCACCAATAGTATAAAAAGGATTCCAATTTTTCCACATCCTTACCAACACTTGTTATCTCTTATCTTTTTGCTAGCAGCCATCCTGACAAGTGAAACGTGATATCTCATTGTGGTCTTGATTTGCATTTCTCTGATGATTAGTGATGTTGGGCACCTTTTTGTAAACCTGTCAATCATTTGGATATTTTCTTTGGACAACTATATATTCAAGTCCTTTGCCCATTTTAATTTTTAAAAATTTATTATTTATTTGAGAGGTAGAAAGAGCTCTCATCCACTAATTTACTCCCTGATTTCCTGCAGTGGTCTGGTCTAGACTGAGCCTGGGCTAGAGCCAACAGCAGGAGCTGGTAACACAATCTAGATACCCCTGTGACTGGCAAGAACCCAATTCCTTAAGCCATCATCTGCTGCCTCCCAGAGTCTGCACTGGTTGGAAGTTACAGTCAGGAGCTTAAGCAGATAAACCAATGTGGGATGTGGGTATCTTTTTAGAAATATTTTTATTAATATAAAGAGAACAGATTTCTTGTATTTTATAGGCACAATTCTAAGAAGATAACTATACTTCCCTCCATCCCTTTTAACTTTTGCAAAAATATAATTTAAATCCACTCCATAATTACAGACTTAAAGCACCACTAACCAAAATATTCAACAAGTAAAAAAGACCCCAGTTCCACAGGAGTATAAACAAGGGCTAAAGACAACAATCAAATCACAAGATGTCTGTTTCATTCTGACAAAATTTTTTTTTTTTTTGACAGGCAGAGTTAGACAGTGAGAGAGAGAGACAGAGAGAAAGGTCTTCCTTTTCCATTGGTTAAGTGGCCACTGTAGCCGATGCGCTGCGTCGATCTGAAGCCAGGAGTCAGGTGCCTCCCCCTGGTCTCTCATGTGGGTGCAAGGCCCAAGGACCTGGGCCATCCTCCACTGCACTCCAGGGCCATAGCAGAGAGCTGGACTGGAAGAGGAGCAACCGGGACAGAATCCGGCGCCCCGACTGGGACTAGAACCCGGGGTGCCGGCACCACAGGCGGAGGATTAGCCTTGTGAGCCACGGTGCCGGCCTCTGTGTTCTATACGAACTACTACAGATCAGAGATTCTGCTCTCAGGGTTCTAGAGGCTGAGAAGTCCCACACAGACGTCTGCAGGCTGAAGAACCAAGGAAGCTAGTAGCATGGTGCAGTTCAAGTCCACAGGTTCACAGCCAGGAAGACTGATGGTGTAATTCCCAGCCCAAGGCCTGAGCCCCCAGTGAGCTGCTGGGGCAGGTCCCTAAAGAACACGGAGTTCTTCCGTCCAAGGGCAGAGTGAGGGTGTCCCAGCTCAAGAAGAGGAAAAAGGAAAGAAGAGAGAAAGAAGAGAGGAAAGAAGAAAGAAGAAAGGAGAGAGAGAGAGACTCCTTGTTCAGCCCACTGATTCAAATGTCAATTTCTTCTAGAAACAATCTCAATCTCATAGATTCATTTGGGTATACTTATTTGGGTATTCCTTGATGCCTAAAATTAACAATTAGTATTTTACCACAATTTTTAAAAATCCATGTAAAATGTTTGCTTCCCACTTCTCTTTGAGCTCAGCTGGTTTGGAAATCTGCTACCTAGCCATTCACAGCTCCTCAATCCCCTGCACCAAAAGAGTAGATTACTAGAGAAGAGATTGATCATGGTTACCAAGTGGAAATGGAGCTAGTGCTGCATGATGGAGGTAGGAGAAGGGAATATGTCTGGAGTCTTTATTTTTCCAGGGCACTTTCCCCCAGTATTTCCAAGTCCAAATACAACCATTAAAAGAAAACTGCAGCAACCTAATAAAGACAGTATGACTGATGGTGCAACCATCTAGGTTTGAGTCACGTCATCTTGTAAAGATCCGTTACTGGCTGAGGTGCTGGCAGAAGAAGGCAAAGGGAACCTAGTAGCTGGCTTGGAAGGAAGGAGTTAGGAAAGATTAGGTGTTGTTTCATTAGACTGGGGCACAGTTTCTGAAACTGAATTATGACTAAGGCAGGGCTGGGTCTTTCGTAGGAGAAAGCAGACTGCTTCTGGTATCCTCTTTACTGGAGCTGAGAAAAATTCATTTGCTGCATAGAAATCTGCATCCCAAAAACCTGTATTGATTTCTCTAATAAGGAGACGAGTAGGTTTGAATAAAATTGGATTCATTGCTTATTTT